TTCAGATCCAAAATGCAGATTCAGCTAACGATGTGAGCAATCTCCATTCTATGTAGTTTTTGTCAATGTGACGTAAATGAGCTGCTCAGGTCCTAGACGTAGTGTAGAGGAGAGCGACAAGGTAATCCCCAGTGTTAAGAGGTATGAGCTGTGAGCAATAATTGGACAAGCTAGGGCTCTTCAGTCTTGAGGGGAGACAACTCAGAGAAGATCTCACAGAGGGATGAGATCAGATAGGCCAAATAATCTTCTTTATCCAAACAATCTTGTGATCTTGTAACTGTTGTTGAATAGTCAATTAGTAGGGAGTGTGCTGTAAGAGCTTTGACGAGTTGAAAGAAACAAATCATAAATCATACAGGCTTTTAAAAACCAAGCTTAGGAATACTTAACCACTTGTTTTGATTCTGATTTCTTTCAACCTTGGCAGGGAACTCTACTATAGGTTTTAGCATTCACTTAAGTTCTCAACAATTGAAACTGAATCCTCAGGCAATGCAAACCACATCTTGAAGCTTTTCTGTAGCGTTTGCTTTTTGGCAGATCCATTGCAGTAACAATTTTGGAGTTGAAAAGAAGTCTTCAGATGAAATTAAAAAAAANCTCAGAACCATAAGTAGAGGTCAAACATTGTACAGACAGTCAGATGGGAGTAATTAAAAACTTAATTACATTGATCAATGCAATCAGATCGATGGCCACACATCAGTTTCTCGACATCACACTGCACAATTATTATTTTCAAAATGGAAGTAAACAATTATATAAATCTGACCACTTGGCCCCGAAGTTTGTAAGTTGTTACCTCCGAGCATATGAAATTATAGTTTGTAATGTCAGTGAACAATCAACGTAATCAGAGAGAGTTAGCTAAAAGCAAAAAATTCTAGTGCAACTCCAAAAGTCTTTGTCATGTTCATGGGTCCTTGTTAGCAAATATCATGCCAGTCATTTAGCAAATTGCCACATACCAACATACCAGGCAGGGCGAAACCTTGGGCAAGTTTCCTTACTCCACACGCCTAATAATAATCCCTCCAAAACCAAAAAAAAAACAATAATTAATTGGTCATTTTCAATCTACGACTGTTTGTGGGACATTGCTGTGCGCAATTGGCTGCCGCGTTCGCCCACAAATATACAGTCAATTCATTTTGCAGTATGTTCTGTGAAGCGCTTTGGGACGTCCTCCCGACGTGAAAAGCGCTATATCAAATGCAAGGATTATTATTATTATTATTATTTCATATAGTTCAACAAATCGTCACATGCCAATCTTCTCAAAGAAGTAACTAAAGAAACAAATGTCATGAGGAGGAAGGTTTGTGCTCCTATAATTGATATAGACATTCGTCAGGTTTTACAGGTTGAAACATTCAGTGTTGTGGGTACAGCATAATTGCAGGAGTAAAGGTTTAGTGCTGTTTGTGACTTCCAGCGACATATAATGTCTGTGTGCAGTGTAGTATGAAGGTGTCATGTGAAGTCATTTGTTAGATGTTATGGGAAAGCAAATTCAATAAAGGGTCACTTGAGGTAAATTTTCTAGTGTATGGTGATGCATCTCATCAAATCACTAATGTGAATAGCTTTGGTGACTTCTTTCTACAAAAATGTCACAATAAACTTCATAGCTACCACATTATTTACAAACAGAAGTATCTGGAATTTCTTTTGCTATCTAAAAAGAAACATCCTATTTACTGTGGACAAATTATGTCATGAATTCCTTTGATATCCCTTTGGAACTTTTAGTCCTATGAATTGACTTTTCTCATTTGAATTTCAATTTGTGCTTGAAGTGCCACTTGCTGGCTGATTCAGGTAAAGGCAGCTGAAGCTTTATTATAAAAATAATAAGAAGCTTTAATTAAATTCTCCTATATTGCAACTCAAAGATGAAGCAAGTAACACAGGAAGATCAGATCCCGAATCTGTCATTTGGATTTGGAGATTTGGTTCAGAAAAGTTTTGCTGATCTGGAGTCAGAATCCCAACATTCAGTCAGTTTCAAAGCAAAAATCTCACTATTTGTGACCATTTTTAAAAAATATATATTTTTTCTTTCTTTCATACAAACAGTGAATGGCAATGACTCCATTATATAATATGAATAATAATCCTTGCATTTGATGTATCTCATCGTCAAAATATCTCAATGCTCTTTGAAGAATTTACTACAAAGTGTAGTTATGTGTTTGTTGATGAAAGAAGCAGCTAATTTGCATACAATGTCTCACAAACATCCATGAAATGAACGGCCAATATTATTTGGGGGATTTTGGACCAGGACACAGGGAGAATTCCTCTTCTATTTTCAAATGTGCAATGGGATCTTTAAGTTCCACCCCTACGGGACCTTGAGTTAACTTCTCATCCAAATGACAAATGACAATGCAGTACCCCACCCAGGATTTGTATTAGTGACTGCCTGGATGATTAGTTCATAGTCTGGATTGAACCCACAGGCTGTTGACTCAAAGGCAAGAGTGCTACCAACTGAGCCAGGTTGACATCTGACAACATATGATACCTTAACTGGAAAACATAAAGACTCAAAAATGAAAGGAAGAAAGTTTCAGTTTCTTCACATCGTCAGGCTTAATAGCTCCATCAAGCTAATTAACCTAATACAGCCACTGTTCATACAAAAATATTCGATGAAATTGGAAGATAGCATTTAGAAGAAGATGTAAAACTAAATTATAGGTTTGTCCCTCTTCACATCAGAAATGTTAGGATCGTGGAGTTGCAACATTGCACTGAAAATTAAGTATAACTACCTCAAACCTTCTAATACTTAAAAGTGTCAGCCTGGCTCAGTTGGTAGCAATCTCATTTGTGAGTCAGAGGTTGTGGGATCAAGCCCCACTGTGGGAACTCACATAGTCTAGGTTGACTCTTCAATGCAATGCTGAAGGTAGTGCTGTATTGTCAGAGGTGCAGTCCTTTGGATGAGATATTAAAATTAAGTCTTGTCTGCCTGTTCAGACATTAAAGGTCCCATTGCATTGTTTCAAATGAGACGCCATTCTGACTTGAAAAGTCAAATGTAAGTATTATTATTATTATCCCATTTAACATGTTAATACAATACAGAATTACATTTGTAGAGCACCTTTCACATTGGGAGGACGTCCCAAGGTGCTGGATAGTCCTCTCTGATTTTTGGACCCGAGCTGGGGGGTCAGGAAGTGTGGAAGGCAGGAAGGGTGGCCAAGCGCTCAGTCAAGAGGAGGGTTTTGAGATGCACCTTGAAGGAGGCAAGGGAGGGAGCGAGGCGAAGGGAATATGGAATGGAGGGCCATAGGGTGGGGGCAGAATGGCTGAAGGGCTGATCACCGATGGTGGGGCGGGCTGGGTGAGGGATATGGAGTAGGCCAGAGCCTGCTGAGTGGAGGGAACGGATAAGTTAATATGGGGTCAGCAGGTCGCAGAGGTAGGGAGGGGCAAGGCCATGGAGAGCCTTGAAGGCGAGTGCGAAGATTTTGAACACTATCCTCTGGTGGATGGGGAACCAGTGGAGACGGGGATGAGGGTGGGGGTGATGGGATCATGGAGCTTGGTGCGGGAGAGGTCACAAGCTGCAGATTTCTGGATGATCTGCAACTTGTGGAGGGAAGAGTTGGAAAGGCCGACAAGCAGGGAATTGGCGTAGTTGAGCCTAGATGTGATGAATGTGTGGATGAGGGTTTTGGCGGCCTGAGGGTTGAAGCAGTGGCGGAGCCGGGCGATGTTGCGGAGCTAGGGGAGGCAGACTGGGTCACGGCACGGATGTGGGGTAGAATGGTCTTCAAAATATGCTTTGGAAACGCTTGTAATAAATCTTGCAGCCGTAAGTTGTTGTAGTTGTAACGTAAACCAAAGGAATGGAATTCACAGAGTAAACCTATGCTAGTACATAAATAACCAGTTAATGAGGTCCAATTAAGGTTTTGGCAGCAATACCAGCAATTGCATCATTTCATGATAAACTGTTCAAAAAATAGTTCAACAACTTATATATGAGACTAAACTTTCAAGTAAAACAATCCTTCCAAAATCACCAAACAAATTACCTGAATAGTTTAAATGTTTACTCTAGAGTATCCAGCGAACATCTTATTCAAATGGTTCTTTGCCACTTCGGATGAATTTCAATTATCCATTAGTGGTAAACTAAAGTTCTTGAGAAGCTTGAAGCAAGAATACAAGTTATTTTTCATATTAATTATCCTTGCATTTGATATAGCACCTTATCGTGCTATCAAAACTTCTCAAAGTGCTTCACAGGATATACCGTAAAGTGGAGTGACTGTATTTTCTGGGGAAATGCGGCAGCCAATTTTGTTAAAAGTACTACCTATAGCTTTATATGAAAAAAAACAAATTCTAATCTATAATCATGCATGAAGCCATATCCTTATTGCTACAATCTTATGCTACACAGATAGCTTGCCTACAAAGCCATAAATTTAGCTAAAAAGCACAACATGACCTCACAAACATAGTATCAGCCTGGTTCAGTTAGTAGCACTTTTGCTTCTAAGTCAAAATTAATTTGCATTCAAATACACTTTACAGTAAAATCCTGTAAAACTTTTTGAAATGTTTTGACTACATGATAATGTGCCATATAAAATCCAGGGATCATTATACTATAAAAGAGGTTCAAATGAAGAATACCCTTTGACCGATCGGATTACTTTCTTGCAGAATTTCCACTTTCCTGTCACAGTATCAAGCCGTGACTTATCCTCTTCAACATCTACAAAATAATGGACACAAATTCCGATACTTCATTTTAAGGAACACTTTAATTATAATACAACATATAAATTTGAAAAAAAACTTAGTTCAAAAACATTTTGTAAAATAACATTTCAAAGTTAAACTTTTTAAAAAATTAACAAGTAAAGTATTCCTAAACATAACATATTCATAATCCAGTAGCAGATTTGTTTTAGCTACCAACTAAAGATTATGTATTTTCAACAACATTAAAAAATAACAATTGCTGCTTAAAAATTACACATCAACACAATTTAAAATTAAAATTTTCTCATTCAAGAACAAAGAAATCTACATTTAAACAAAAGCACCTTTTCTGCTTTAAAACACAACAAATACAACTAGAACAAGTTTGACCTGAATTAAAGTTTGCGCTCCACAATACTGTAAAGTCAAAGCAGTTTCAACAAATAACTTTTTTCCTTACAGCTGACAAATGATTTTCTTATCATTGGCAAATATACAGATTTTTGTAGGTGAATGTATCTTATTCTTCATTGGTCAATATATTTACAGTGTTTGGCAGTGTGAATCACCACCCAACCAACCCCACTCAGCTATTTATTATGTTTTTAAATTTGGCTGAAATAATAACCTAAAATATATTTTTTTGAGCTCTATTTCCTGTCTAGAGGGGCGACGGAAAAAAGAGCTAACAGCACTTCTGGAAAACAAGCACACAATCTTGGCAGTATCTCAAAAGCTCAAGTTGTTACAGAATTGAAAATAAAAAAAATGCCTTTTTTTACTGTTTATATTCCAGGAAACAGATCAAAAATAAGCCTGTCTTACAAATCCCACATGTTATACGTTTCCTCTTAAAGGAAGAAGAGACGCTCAGCCAAGTTTAGATCAGGCTCCCTGTGAATGCTTTGCCCCACCAGCACTGTAAGTTTGAAGGCATACTGACATGGAGCTGGAACCCGAATTACACCCTGAAAGGAAGCAGAAACTTTTTTTTGAAAATGTAACAAAGTGACAAACTCACTTTAATAAATAGCACTGTAAAACTGCTAACCATGAATACCATTATGTTATCCAAAAAGGTCAATTTAAAAAACTTTTAAAAGATTTACAAGAATGTACAGCAAGGATACAGCCCACTTGTCCCAACCACTCTGTGTCAATGTTTATTCTCCACACGAGTCTCCACCTGTTCCTTACTCCCTCCCATACCCTTCTATTCCCTTCTCCCTCATGTGAAGATCTAGGTTCTCCTTGAATGCATCTATATTAGGCAGTGAATTTCACAATCTCGCTTTCCTCAGTATGAAGTAGTTCCTCCTAAATTATAAAAGCTTAACCATGTTTCATCCTGCCAGCAATCGAACCCAGGTCTCTCGCTCGCAAGGCGAATGCTCTAACCACTGAGCTACAGAACTCCACATCACATTATCTAATCTCACAGCTCATCCTTCTAACATTGGAGATTATCTTCACTGCTCTCCTTCGCATTGCCTCTAAATGCTGATTAGCATCCTAATGTTCTGTTAACTAGAACTGTACATAATATTCCAGGTGCGGCCTTACTAGAAGTACAGTTTGAGCATGACATCCATGCCTGCCTGCTTTGGTAATACTACAAATCTTCCTGTTAGCTCGTACGTTGCTGGCTCAACTGTTTGACATGGTGAGGGATAAGTCAGCTCTCAGATTCCTCCTTGGCAAGTTCTATCTTATTAATGGAGTACATATGCCTGTATCTACCTTTTTATAGTACTTTGCATGTGTTCTATTTTGTACCTTGTAGCAATCAATCTGATCTCAGGAAAGCTTAGCAAAACAAATCTACTCACTGGCCAGTTATAGTAGAGATGGCACAATTTGTATGTTAGTCTCTGTACATGGTCTGGCTTCATGCCGCTGTTGTCATACACAACATTGTAGTATGTTGGTGAAACGGTACCTTGACGTGCACACTGACTGATCAAAAAAAAGTCATACCTGTGGATCCCACAAAGCAAGTTTGGATTACTTTCAAAATATTTTAGCCCATAGCGATATTTAGTCCAGTGATATTTTACAAGCTTATGAACCGGTTATTAATGATTTTTTTTATTTTTTTTATTTCAGTGTTAGAATGTCTGGACTGGCTTATTTAACTTTTATTCTGCATTCGTACCCAAATCACAGGGGTGCCTTAATATTTTTCGCAATGGTTTTCAGCTATCCTTTAAGCCAGTTCCTGAATAAGTTCATTATAAATGGAAACTTGTCTCAACTTGGGGTGAAAAATATTCATAAATCAAACTTTAGGCTCTGTGCTTTTCTAGGAAGAAAATTATTTGTGTTTTGACTGACATCCAATCTTGTAAATTATTTTATTCGAATAGATAATTCAAACAATTAAAATCATGTGTTTACTGTTTAAACTATTAATAATAATACCAACGATATATGATGTTTGAGATGAATAATTGAACATTTTAAAGGGGTTGAAAAAGTTGAATGGGAAACAATCAGATCTCAGCAATAAAAACATTTTATTTGAAGTATACAAATTCACTTCAATACTCTTGTGTATGAAAGTTTTATTTATATTTATTATGGCATACATAAAACTTTGCTGCAGTGGAAGGTTAGAAGAATATTAATTTGTCAGGATTAAAACAGTCTATATATAAATCAAGACTTTTCTGTGATTTTTGAATGCGTTTCTGTGTGATCATGGACAGCAGTGATACCACTTAGAATCAAAGCATTGTATATATTTTACGTCTATATAAACAGCTTACCATTCAGGACGGGTAGCCTCACTGTCAATCACTGTACCAAGTGCTGGGTTTTGAAGTGCTCCATTCACATCAGCAAAGAATCTGCAAGGACTTCTCTTCCGAACTACAATCATAGTTATTTTGGGGCTAAAATGGCATAAAAGTATATTAAAATGGTAAGGGCTGCAGAGGTGTTAGATTCAGCCAGTCGGTGGGTCTTGTTGCTCAGTAAAAATATTTCTCGCTGCCAGCTGATACCTGATTGTGGTCACGTGAGCTTGACATTTGGGAAAAACTTGGCAGCCATAACAATGGGAGTGACATGTCGTACAGGAATTGAATGTGCAACAATTTCTAAAGTAATTCTTACCTCTCACCTCCGAGTTAAAAGGTTGTCAAACCAAGCCCTTTGTTGGGACTTTGAGTTTATAGTCTTGGCTAACAGTGTAATGCGGTGTTAGGGAGGCTACATTGTCGGAGGTGCAAATAAGATGTAAAGCCAAGGTCGCATGTGCTTCAGATGGACGTTAAAGATTCCATGGCACTATTTGGGAAACAAAAGGAAGTTTCTTCCAGGATCCGGTCAAAAATCCCCCAGATAAAAAAATCAATATCAGGCTGCTGTTGAGTCAGTCTGGCTCAGTTGGCAGTATTCTCACATCTGAGTCAGAAGACTGTGAGTTCAAGCCCCACACTGGGACTTGGAGCTCATATAGTCCAAACTGCCACTCGAATGCAGTTCTGCATTGTCAGAAGTGCCATCCTTCAGATGACACAATAAACCAAAGCCCCACGTGCCTCTTCAAGTAGATCTAAAAGATCCCATGGTATTATCTGAAAGAAGGTAGGGAGTTTCTGCCAGGTGTTTTGGCTAACAATTCCCTAAATAAAATTGGTCATTCACTTCATGGCTGTTTGTGGGACATTGCTGAGTTCAAATTAGCTGCTGCATTTATTCACAAAATGTACAGTCACGCCACTTTACAGTATATATCTTGTTAAATGCTTTAGGATGAGCTCCTAAAAATGAAAACACTACACCAATTGAAATTATTATTATTAGTCGTCCTTTGCTTCATGGCTCTGTGCGGAATATTGCTGCGTGCAAATTGGCTGTCACATTGGCCTACAAATACAGTATACTTTCCAGAAAAATTCTGTGAAGCACTTTGAGATGTTTCAATATAATAATCCTTGCATTTGATATAGCACTTTTCATATCTTCTAGACGTTTCAAAGCACTTTACAGAATATACTGTAAAGTCAATTGACTATATTTGTAGGCAGAACGTGTCAGCCAATTGCGCACAGAAGTGTCCCACAAACAGTCGTGGATTGAATGACTAAATTATTATTTTTTTTGTTTCTTTTAGGGATTATTATCCCTAGAAAAGCGATCCACCAACTGACTAACAACCGGGTTCCTATTTGCTGCTAGGTAAAAAGAGACTTGTGGAGTAAGGAAACATGCCCAATATTTCGCCCTGCTGGGAATAGAACCCAGACCTCTCGCTTGCGAGTCGAGTGGTCTAACCACTGAGCTACAGGACTTCACGTAGCTCCACTCCAATGTAAGGATAAGGTGCTATAAGGATTGTTACTTTTTTATTACATTTTACTTGAGTCAATGTCACGTTGTGCATCAGTTACTAGAAAAGGTCCCGTTAGTTTCCTTATTAATGAATGCAATTAGATTTTTTGTCATGAACCCAAGAAACCGCTATGAAGCTCTCTCTACGTTATAATTTGACCCCAATATGCTACTACTGCTTTATACCCCTGAAAGAAAAGTGACTTGTAGAGGGTTATGGAGTGGCAAACTTGATTTGGGGGTGGTCCTTAGTACTGCAGTACTCTAAAGTCCTGCTGATTACACAGTCAGTTATATCAATAGTTCTTAGAGGAGCAGACCCATCACTGGGGGTAAGGATTCTTCTCACTCAACTTTTGTTAACTCTGCAAGCCATTGTTTTAACAGGTAAGGTGGTCCTACCTGGACAAGTAGCAGGAAGCCTACGAGACAGTGCTCTCAATGGCAAGATACATGGTTTTAGTTGATTAATCTCAACACACACTCTGAAGTTCCTAAGTGCAAAATCAATGGTTGACCTTTCAACATTTCTGCCCCATCCCATTCGATCCCAGAGCCCCACAACGTTGTCCACCTTTAAAGACCACCTTAAGACTTATCCTTTCAATTGTACCATCAGTCAACTTTCTCCCACAACAACCTCCTCAGCTTCCTCCCTCCCTTCCCCCAGCTGAGGTTAACAGTTAGCTCTGTAAAAGCGCTTTGAGACGTCGAACTAGTGTACTACAGTGATACAGTAAACCTCACATGATTTTGTATCAGTTTGGGCCATACATTTAATATGACTTATGCAAAGTATGAATTATGCGTAGAATATAAACTCTTGAACGTGACTTGAGCAGATGTACGACTTAGGCGATTATATGATTTATACAGATCAGACAAGTATTATTGTATGTAAATATAATTTGTTTTAGTAAGCTGGGTGGGTTCCTATATGGAAAGAATACACATTCCATTGCAGACCCAGTGAAATTTCCATAGATACGTGGAACTCTCAGTTTGGCTTGTACAATCTTAAGCATGGTGAAGGAGTTTCCACATCATCAGACACCCGGCTGATCAAAACAAATTACAAATTTAATTGTGTGAACCACTACTTTCCATTAAAACACAAACAGCTAACAAAATGAATAATAAGTTGCCACAAATGCAATAATGTGGCCTTTACAAAGTCCAACTCTATAAATTAAATATGAGAAGGTGCTTCAAGGACAGAACAGATTTGGGGGCTCAGATAGTGTTGATAAAAATGCTTGATCTTTATTTGTGTGGTTTATAAAGCAGTCAAAAATGGCTTGATGAATTACCACATTATAAACACCAGTTTATGTCTTATCCTCGATATCCCTTTCCCTCAGTGCACCAGAAAAAGAAAAAGTAAACGGCTATTACGTTAAAAAAAATCACAGATAAATGGTACAACAGAGGTGATGAATTGTTTTTGTTAAACTATTTTGAGAAAATCTTTTCCCATTAAAAGATTACAACACATTAACGTGCTATCTTAAAGTACCTTTTTTTTTAAAAAAGCCGTGTAACTTGTGACACAGACCTACTGCTGTTACAATAGTTTGTTATCCCAATCACCTGTACATTTCTGCATTCTGTGGAATAATTTTGCTTGTGTTCCTCTACTGGGAAAAAAAATCATGAAACTGGCACATTCGGAGACCAGCCAGAGACTAGAATTGAATATTATCACTATTTGCATCCAAAGAATTGAACAATAAAACTAATTGTTTGATCCAATACCTTGTAAATGTAGTAAAGTGGAGTCCTGTAGCTCAGTGGTTAAAGCACTCGCCTTGCAAGCGAGACACCTGGGTTCAATTCCAGGCAGGCAAAACCTTGGGCAAGTTTCCTTACTCATTTTCAATCCACGACTATTTGTGGGACACGACTGTGCGCAATTGGCTGCCGCGTTTTGCCCACAAATATACAGTCAATTCACTTTACAGCATATTCTGTGAAGTGCTTTGAGACGTCTAGAAGTCGTGAAAAGTGCTATATCAAATGCAAGGATTATTATTATTATTATAATTCATTCTGCCACCGGGATCAAGCAGCCAATGTTTTCAACCCATTAAACAAACAGATCCAGACTAGTGACTACTATTGGCAGGGTTATAACTAAGTATGTAGAATGTAAGTACAAGTTTTTTTTGTTGATTAATACATAAATTTGATGTGACAATCAACAAAAAAAACTTGTAATTATACCATGCCTTTCACTTGGGTTAACATCTGACAGCACTTCACCGAGATGGAGAGAAAACCTGAGCAAAATGAGAAGTAGCGGGAATCGGAAGAAGTTGCCCAAAGGTACAGTCAAGGAGATATTAAGAAAACAGGGAGAGAAGCTATGAGGTGGAGAGATTTTGAGAGGGAATTCCAAAGAACAGTGGCAAAAATGGTTGCCCTGATGATCACATCAAATTTATTAGAATAATAATTGAGCATCTTTCATAACTGGAGGGCATCCCAAAGAGCTTTACAGGATATAGTGTGAAGTGCAATGACTCTATGTTTTTTGCACAACATCTACTATAAAGCGTAGTGGCTATGTATTTAATATGTTTTGACTTAGTATATAGACTTAGTTCAATTGTATCCTGTCAAGCAAGACTCGAATGATGTCTCCAGGATCTAAGAACAGGAACAATAAAACTAATTGTTTGATGCAATACCTTCTAAATGTAGCAATTCATTCAGCCTCTGGGATCAAACAGCCTTTTTTTGCAACCCATTAAATAAACAGATTCAGACAAGTGCTGCCTCCAGGATTTATGAACAGCAACTGTTGGAACCCTACTTCAATAGGAAGGAAGGAGTCAAATGTCTTCAGGAACAGAGGGGAAAAAATTGGTGAAAAATATGAGCAGAATTTTGCACCTTACCCATAGCAAGGGTTCACCGCCTTAAAGCTGTGCAGTATCTGGGGCACCTCATAGTCCACCAATGTCATTAGTTGCCCGTCCCCAACACCATCACGATAAATTACAATGCGTCCTGGCAGCATGTGATTTATTTCAAGCCATTTGTTGAGAGCACCTAAAAAGGAATGTAGCAGTCATAATATACCTGTGTAAAAAACCCACTCAAACACACACACAACCACACACACATAAGTCTCCATATTCCTTCACATTTTGTGGATAAAATTTTCTAGACATTACAGTAAATAGAGAATATTTACAACAATCTATAGAAGTGTACGTGATACATGAAGCAAAACGTTTGGTATATACAACAGAGGGTTGACAAGAGATCATAAGATTGATCTGGTGAAGAAGGCCCTTCAGCCCATCCAATCTCATCCCTCCAGAACACACATCCGACCATCTCTCATCACATCAAGCTGCTGTTTAAATGAGTCTGGTGTCCTAGCAACCTGTTCTAATTTTTGATTACCTCCGCATAAAGACTTCCTGGCATTGGTGCTAAAATCGTTTACTGTCATAATACATCCTAAAGTATAGATCTGGATTTACTTCATCAATCCCATTTAAAATTCTGTGCACATCTATGAGGTCCCTTCTGAGTCGTCAAGACTAAAGCTCCTTCTGTGCTGTAGTTAATCTACAAATTGAACCCTATTACAAAACCAACGTATATCAATAATTCCAGTATTCTGCTACTTTGTTAAATATCCTTTAAATATTAGGTACAGACAATTGCACTTGTGGCCAAAGCTGCACGTACTGATATGACAATACTAAAATAGGATAATAACTTTACTTGAATCCATTGTATAGTGCCATGTATTACTCAGACATTTATTATATTATTTGATGTGTTGAATGAAGAATAATATGGGAAGAGGGCAATCAGTACCTTGCATGCAGACCTTCAGGCAATCGGCTACTTCTACAGCAGAAGATTGAAAAACACAGCGAGAATACCACCTGCAGAAAAGCATGTCTTTTCAAAAGGTTCATAAAGTAACATTTTCACTTCATATATTAATCCCTTCAAATAAATGACAAAAAACTAGCAAGGGTCTTCCACAGGTAAGGAATGAACATGATAATAGTGTAATAATAATAAATTTTGCATTGGTATTGTGCCTTTCAGGATGTATGAAAGCACTTTACAGGATACACTGTAAAGCGTCGTGACTCTTTTTACGGGAGAACACAGTGGCCAATTTGCTCACAGCAATGTCCCATAAATGGGCAATTTTATCTGGGGGATAAAATTGTTGGCCAAGACACTGGGAGAAATTCTCTTCTCTTTTCAAATAGCGCACAGGATCTTTAATGTCCCCCTGAACAGGCAAACAAGACGTTGATTTAATTTCTCACCTCTGATAATGCAGCCCTTCCCCCAGCACTGCATTGGAGTGTCAGCTTAAACTATATGAGTTTCAAGTCCCAAGGTGGGGCTTAAACCCCCAACTTTCTGACCCAGAGGCGAGAGTGGTTCCAGCTGAGTCATACACCAGGAAGATTGTTAGTCAGCACATTGGGGAAAACAGCAAGGAACAAGAGATGGAGACTCCTACAAAGGGAGCCCAATGAGGAAGTGGAGGAGGGACAATGCAGAGTTATTTCATGTCAAAGGGAAATTGCTGATCTCTAGTTTAGAAATTAGATCATTTAAATCTCTGAAGACCTTGGCCAAGTGGCAGCTGGAATATGGGCATAAGATGGGCGATGTCAAATTGTGTGATGTGTTAATTATCACCAGTAACAACATCATTGTTAAGCTCTCCAAGAAGCTACCCTATATGAAGGATGCCATATAAATACAAGTTGTTGTAATAATTCTAACATTGCTGGTAACTGCACTTCTGGCTCATGAAGTAAAGGAATTAAAGTGCCAGTTTGCAGGATACCCGCTCAAATGCTCAAAATCAATATACCCCCATAAAGTACTCTTTTATAATAATTCTTGCATTGGATACAGCACCTAATCATTGCTGGCAGTTTTGTGGACCTGCCTAGTCAGGACTACCGTCACCACCAGAGAGCTGACTTTATTCCGACATTCTGTTGCCAAACACAGCACTTTCGAGCCAATTCAACTCCAAGTAGACCATATTTACTTCACCCCCTCCCCTCAAGGAGGATAATCACTGGTTTGTGAATTGGTAATAAGAGGATACATATACTCAAGAAAATGGGAGCCATGAGTCCAAACTTATCTTACTTTGTGATTGTGGGGTTAATACTCGCCACAAATCCAACATAAATTCCCTTCCCGAGTGAATCACGGTTAACATCAATGCCAACCACCATCAGAGACTTCAACTGTAAGGAAAAAAAACTACACTTTTTTGTATGTAATGTCAATATTGTGAACAATAGATAAGACAAACACATGGCAGAATGTGCATCAAGGACAATCTTTACAATGACCAAAAAGAGTTTCTTGGAATTATTCTATGTAACTTAATGTTCACAAGATTGTAAACGGAACATGACTGTAAGCATGGTCGACAAGGAGGCTTTTCAGGCGAGACTTGAAAAAGGGGAGTGGCAAGCCAATTGAGGGAGAGTGTTCAAGGGTTTCGGGGTGCAGTGGCTGAATGCGCAACCTCCAATGGTGGAGTGGAGGGTGAGAAGGTCAAGTAGGAGGCCGGTGCCAGTCGATCGGAGGCGCCGGGTAATGCATTGGGGAGTGAGGAGGTCGGAGAGGTGGTGAAGTTCCAGGGAGTGATGGGATTTGAACACGAGTGTGAAGATCTTGAAGTTGATCCGTTCGGTGATGGGGAGCAGTAGAGCCTGGCCAGAACTGGTGAGATGCAGGTATGGAGTTTGGTCCGGGTCAGTATGTGGGCAGCAGAGTTCTGAACTAACTGGATTTTTTGAACAGTGGAGCTGGGGAGACCGGCGAGGAGTGCATTTGAGTAATCCAGACGGGAGGTGACAAACACATGCACGAGTGTTTCAGCTGCATTTGAAGTAAGGGTATGGTCGGAGGCAGGTAATGTGGCGGAGGAAGGCGGTCCTGGTCACCAGATGTGGGGGGGAGGGGGAAGGACAGCTGGGGGTCAAACCGCACACCTGTTGTGTACTGGTTCAGTGAGTCTGAGGGAGAGCCCAGGGAGGTTGAGTTTAGATCCACAAGAGTGAAGACATTGATGGGAGCCAAGGAGAATGGCTTCTGTCTTGTCCATATTCAGCTGCAGGAAGTTTACACTCATCCAGACCTTGATGTCTGCCGAACAAGCTGATAGAACATCGGCGGATCTGGAGTTGGTACTGGAGGAGGCAAAGTAGATTTGTGTGTCATCCGCATACAGGTGGAAATTTACCCAGTGTCTGCTGATGACATCGCCCAGAGGGAGCATATAGATAAGGAAATGAAGAGGGCCAAGGATGGTGCGTTGGGATACGCCTCAGATGATCGGGCGGGGGTGGGAGGAGAAACCATTTGTCGAGATGAAGTGGAAGCAATTGGTTAAATAGGACGAAAATAGATGTAAACGTATTTCCTTGATAAAAATAAACCACCTTCAGGTGATCAAAAATACAAAGATTATTACTATGTTTTATCTAAACTTATCAAACATAGTGAAAAGCCGGAATGGTCAGAAATTACTTCAGAGAATTATGTGAATAATAATCCTTGCATTTGATATAGCGCTTTTCACATCGGGAGGACGTCCCAAAGCGCTTCACAGAATATACTGTAAAGTGAATTGACTGTATATTTCTGGGCGAACGCGGCAGCCAATTGCGCACAGCAATGTCCCACAAACAGTCGTAGATTGAAAATGACCAATTTATTATTGTTTTTGTTTTTTGGAGGGAATATTATTAGGCGTGTGGAGTAAGGAAACTTGCCCAAGGTTTCGCCCTCTGCCTGGAATTGAACTCAGGTCTCTCACTTGCAAAGCGAGTGCTCTAACCACTGAGCTACAGGACTCCAGTTGAATAGTTGAAAGAGAAAATGTTTGTGAGAAAATGTTTTTAGGAAAATGTGCTGAAACGTATATATTTGTTAATTGAATGCAGAAAATGCATAAAAGTGGGTTCTCACTCCTGTCTATTTTGGTTTTTCACTCAAATAGCCAATATTTTGGTATGTTTGTTGCTTCTTTTTAGTATATTTATATATTCTTATGTTTTACTTGTGTTTATTAAAAATGGTTATTATCTGCTGACATTATAAAGTGGTAGTTTCAGAACTGAGCATCTCTCACCATTTTAGGTGTTGTTTTTGATGTTCTTCAAATATATTTGGAAAATAATCCCTCCAAAAAAAACAAAACAATAATAAATTGGTCATTTTCAATCCATATGACTGTTTGTGGGACACTGCTGTGCGCAATTGGCTGCCGCGTTCGCCCACAAATATACAGTCAATTCATTTTACAGTGTGTTCTGTGAAGCACTTTGGGACGTCCTCCCGACGTGAAAAGCGCTATATCAAACGCAAGGATTATTATTATTATTATTAAAATGAAAAATAAATTTTAAAAAAATTGAAACGTGGAAACACGAGTAGGCCATTTAGCCTGCTACATCATTTTATTAAACAACAGTTGATATTTTAGTCCTATTTTTCCACCTCTCTGTATTTCTGCATTCCAAATTACTCCATAGAGTTACTTGCAAGATCTTGAATTATACTCACAGGAATCTCCACCATCCATAATTCTCCGCCTAGTTTGCAGGCCATCTGCATAGCAATCTTAGTGGCAATGCTCATAAGCATATGCTGCTTGTTCAGATTGCGAGCAAGCACACATTGACTAGGAGTTGGCTTTTCTACGCATAGAAATTTCTTGATGCAGTCATAATTATCCTTCTGATTTGAGGATAGGATACATAACACCTACAATTTAAAAAAATGGTTTTAGTGAACATGTCATTGGAAAAGCTCAAGACAATCCAAAATTCCTCACTTGCACCAAAGTCCACACGCCCATCATCCCAGTCCTCATCAAGTCCAACTCCCTCCCCAAAAAATCCCCAATAAATCTCTTCATGCCCTAGTACCTTCCTATATCCCTCTGATCTTCTCCTGCCCCACAACTCTGATCGTCCCTTCCAAGCTACTAATTTGGGTCTGCTGCACGCTGCCACTCCCCATGTATCACCATCAGTGGCCAAGCCTTCAGTCACTTCACTCCCAACCTCTGGAATCTCTCTTGCTTCTCATCTGCCTCTCTTTGTATTTTTAAATTTTGTCATAAAACCTATCTCTACAACCACGTCAATGGTCACCAAACTCTCCCCCTTCTCACTTGTTCAGCATCCGACCCTGCTACTTGTAAAGTGCTCTGGGGCTCTATCCTATGTGAAGGATGTGATACAAGTACAAATTTCCAAAAAAGGTATTGCTTATTTCATTAAAATATATTTTAAGTAATTATCTTACAGTTATTGCTACCTATCTGTATTTAACATTCCACAGAGGTGGAATGTACCAAATAGTGTTGAGGTTTTGTGTTTTAAAAAAGTTTAGTATTAGGGGAAACAGTGGTGATCATGTGCTTTACATACCAAATCTGTGCTGGGCTGGACCTGATGTCTCAATGCTTGCATGTAGGATGCAGGACCTTCATTCACCTGCACCCTGTTCAAACAGAAGAAACTTAAGTGTAATAAATTTATCAATTCAATCTGATCATAGAAAATATGTATATGAGATAATTACAATGTAACATGTTAAATCTGCAAGTGAATGGGAAGTACAACAACAACAAGATTCCATTTATAAAGCGCCTTTCATGTCAGGAGGACGTCCCAAGGCGCTGTACAGTTGGTCAGGACCCGAGCAGGGGGGAAATGGTGAGGGGAGGGAAGGGAGGGAGCGAGGAGGGGATAGAGAGTCGAGAGGGGAGCTGAAGGCACGGTCAAAGAGAAAGGTCTTGAGACCGGCCTTGAAGGAGAAAGGGAGGAGGCGGCGAAGGCACTGGGGGATGGAGTTCCAGAGCCCAGGGGCTGAGAGGCTGAAGGCCCGGCCACCGATGGTAGGGCGGTTGGGGCGGGGGATGTGGAGCAGACCGGAGCCAGAGGAACGGAGGGTACGGGCATTTAGGGGGATAGTAGGTCGGAGAGGTAGGAGGGAGCAAGGCCGTGAATGGCCTTGTAGGTGAGGATGAGGATCTTGAATTCGATCCTCTGGGGGATGGGGAGCCAGTGGAGGCGAGCGAGGGTGGGAGTGATGTGGTCGCGAAGCCTGGTGCGGGACAGTACACGAGCTGCAGAGTTCTGAATGACCTGCAGCTTGTGGAGGGAGGTGCCGGGAAGGCCGGCGAGGAGAGAGTTCCCATAGTCCAGTCTTGAGGTGATAAAGGCGTGAGGGGTGAGGTAGTGCCATAGTCTGGCGATATTCCGGAGGTGATGGAAGGCGGTGCCAGTTGTGGTGCGGATGTGAGGGAGAAAGGACAGCTCAGGGTCGAACAGAACCCCGAGGTTCCTGACCGGCTTTGAGAGGTGGAGAGTGCAGCCTTGGATGCTGATGCTGTCAGCGCCTGAGGTGCGGAGGCGCTGACGTGAGCCAATCAGGAGGGCCTCAGTTTTACGCACGTTGAGCTGAAGAAAGTTGTCTCTCGTCCAGGACTCGATGTCGGACAGGCAGGCTGTCAGGACATCGGTGGTCGTGGAGTTAAGGGTAGAGAGGAAAGGTAGAGTTGGGTGTCATCCGCATACATGTGGAAGTTAACCCCATGTCTGCGGATGATGTCACCAAGGGGGAGCATATAGAGGGTGAAGAGCAGGGGGCTGGAGGAAAAGCCATTCGTGGAAACAAAGTGAAGATGGTGGGAGAGGTACGACCTAAACCACGCAAGGACAGGGCCTTGAAGGTTGAGGTGGGAGGACAAGCGGTGGAGGAGGATAGCGTGATCGACCGTATCGAATGCTGCCGATAGGTCGAGGAGGATGAGGAGGCAGAGGGAGCCCTGGTCACAGATGGTCAGGATGTCATTGGTGACCTTGACCAGGGCAGTTTCTGTGCTATGGGCAGCATGGAAACCCGATTGAAGGGGTTCGAATAATGAATGGATGGATAGGAAAGAGCGCAGCTGGGAGGCGACAACTCGTTCCAGGACCTTGGACAGGAAGGGGAGGTTGGAGATGGGCCGGTAGCTTGATAGCTGCGACGCATCAAGGGAGGGTTTTTTCAAGGTGGGAGTGATGGTGGCAGTTTTTAAGGGAATGGGAACAGAGCCAGAGGAGAGGGACAAGGGGTCAAGGAGCAGTGGTGGGTCAGGAGGTGGAGCTGGTGACAGAGGGGTGGGGAAGGGGTCAACAACAAGTTTCAACAACAACAAGATTCCATTATAAGCCTTTCGTGCAGAGGGTCCCAAGGCGCTGAAAGTGCGTAGGGGAGGATGGGTAGGAGTCGGAGTGTGGGAAGGAGGGGGTGGGTGGATGTTCGAGGGGAAGTGACCGCGGAGCGAATTCCCTTGATTTGGGATTCAAGGAAATCCAGCATCTCCTCGCAGTGAAGGTTGGAGGAGATGACCTGCGCGGGGTGGCGGGGGGATGGAGGAGTCGGGATGTGGTAGAAAACAGTAGCCTGGGGTTGTTCTTCGCCTCCAGGATTATCCTGGAGTAGAAGGACGACTTGGACGAGGCTAGAGTGGAGTGGTAGATTTTGAGGAGGTCCAGCCAGATTTGTCGGTGGACCGTTAGGCCAGATTTGACGCAGATGCGTTCAGCGGCCCGCACCTGGCTTTTCAGTGAGCGGAGGTGGGTGGTGAACCAGGGGGAGGAGCGAGAGTAGGAGACAGTACGGGAGGTGATGGGGCAAGAGTATCGAGTGTGGAGGAGAGGGTGTTGTGGAGGAGGGTGAGAGGAGAAGAGGGGTCAGTGAGGGTTGAAGGCCAGAGGGAGAGGAGTTCGGGGGACTCCAAGGCAGCGGTTAGGGATTGTGGGGGTAACTTCTTTCAGGGGCGGTACAAGATGGTTCTGGGTCTGATGGGGGTGGGGAGGGGGTGGAGGTGGTGAAGGAGATGAAGTGGTGGTCGGAGACGGCTTATCAGTGATAGTGACATCCTCAGTAAAAAACACAATAAAACATCTGGTAATTCAATAGTGATGCTTGTTATATCTTAGTAAGTGCAGCAAAGAGCTAAAAGAAAACATGCCTTTTGAAGTGCCTCATGATTGATCTGAAAACGGATTGTTCAGACTGGGGTCTAACATGTATTTTTGTTAATGCTAACAAACAGTATGTCCCAGAAGCATTATTGAACAGTGTGGATTAATCCCCACTGACACCAAAATGAAGTGCGTGGACTCCAAAGAAACTGGATTTAAAGTCACCCCAAAGCATATCCTGGACTATGTGGTTGTTGAAGTAGACGATGTACATGAAAAGGGAATATATGGATTTTTTTAAAGAAATTATATACTTCAGATTCAGCTTGGACTGCTAACTATTAATAGAGCTTTGTATTTGGCTTCTACTTTGATTAAGGAGACAGATAAAGTGTTAGATCAAAAACAGAAGGTTAAATTATGATCCATTGTTGCTTTGAACTCACATTTTTGGATTGCCAACAGAAAAGCCCATTGATAGCCCAACTTTTTTAAGACAGGCTAAAAGCTTTCCAGCTACTTCACAGCTCCTATGGCTAAAAACCATCAGCCAATCTTGAAGTGGTTGAACATTGATAATCCTTGCATTTCGGGTGTCCCTGGACCAGTCAGCTGCTGATTCTGGCTGGCACTGCAGTGTTGGAAATAAAAATCACAAATTGCGAGGATCTGGTTGCATAATAATATTCCTTGCAATAATAATAACTAATATGAACAAAGAAACATACAATGATTTATAAAGAATATGCTGCACAGAAACAGACCGCTGGCTCTAATCAGTCCTTGTTATTGTTTATATACCCGAGAACAGAGGAACCAAAATCACTTGTATTCTATGCTCAACCCATTTAATTACAAAGGCAAAAAGACTGATAGTTTTGCATTAATTCAACAAACAGGTTTACAATAGACAATATTATGCTTTCATGCTCACTTCATCATCTATAGTACCTCGTTGTGGTGATAATATCGAAGTTTATAGGCAGCAGACAAACATCTCTTGTTTGTGAATGCTCATAATAGCGGGTGTTGAATCTCTTGCAACTGCTTTCTTGTCTTATCAATGTCTGTTCTTTCTTCTTTTTTCTTCTAATGTACAACAACCACAACGACTTGCACTTATATAGCACCCTCCATGCAGGGTAGGGTCTCAGAGCACTTAACAGTGGCGGAGCCTGACTCAGTAAGCACGGTCAAAAAGGAAGGTTTTCAGGCGGGACTTGAAAAAGGGGAAAGAGGGGACAAGGTGGAGGGAATGAGAGAGAGAGTTCCACAGTTTCGGGGCATAGTGACTGAAAGCACAACTTCCTATCGTGGAGTGGAGGGTACGAGGGATGAGCAGGAGGCAGGGCCAGTCAAAGGGAGGCACCGGGTGGTGGATTGAGGAGTGAGGAAGCCAGAGAGGTAGGGAGGTGCCAGAGAGTGAAGGGATTTGAACATGAGTGTGAGGATCTTCAAGTCGATCCATTCGGTGATGGGGAGCCTGTGGATCCTGGCCAGAACTGGTGAGAGCTGGGTACGGAGTTTGGTCCAGATAAGTATGCGGAGCTGAAAGACTAATGAACAGTACGTTTGAGTAATCCAGGTGGGAGGTGACAACGTATGCACGAGGGTTTTGGCTGCATTTGGTGTATGGTACGGTTAGAGGCGGGCAATGTGGCAGAGGTGGAGGAAGGCAGTCCTGGTCAGGGACCGGATGAGGGGGAGGAAGGTCAGCTGGGAGTCGAACCGGACTCTTAGATTGTGCACTGGTTCAGTGAGTAAGCCCAGAGAGGTTGAGGAGTTTAGATCTGCAGGAGTGAAAACATTGACAGGAGCCAAAGAGTATGGATTCTGTCTTGTCCACATTCATCTGCAGGAAGTTTACACTCATCTAGGCCTGATGTCTTAATTTGTGACACAACGGATACAACTACAGCTGCAATATTAAATTCACTTTGTCTTTCTTAGTCAATTTAACTCTTCATAACACAATACACAGCATATTCACATCTTCTAATACCATTTTAACTAGTATTGTGATAGATATCCCATGACATCTGTTACGCTGAGATAGAAATTTTGTTATTCAGCTCCATTTAATTAAGACAAAAGAGTTTATAATCAAGAATGTAATTCTGCAATTCATCTCGACACCTGCTAACGAGCATAAGAAACTTTCATTTAATCAAAACATTTTACATCATAATTGCAATTCTGCATGTTAGATCAACTAGCTAACAAGCATGAGCATACCTAACTAAACTGTAACTTTTTTTCACAATTCACTTCTGATCACAAGAGTCTGGGTTGAAACTTAATGCTGTGGATTCTGCTCACAGGTGACCAATTAGTAGCTACTGTCCATTGGGAGGAGGCAAGCAGGGTCTCCTTGGAGCTGAACTGGCAAAAGATGACTCATTTGGCAATGGAATTTCAGATACAAGCCAACCTTCTGTGGCGGTCTTGGTAGTCAAGTTCCTGAGGCAGCTGGGTCCACAATATTCCAGGGCACTGCTGACGACAGCCCAGCCAGCCTGGCCCATTGGCAGGACTTGAAAGGGCAGACCAGTCACTGGGGGAAGAAATTCTTCCCCCTCAGCTCTAGCTAACCCTGCCAGAGCTCTAATGAATAGCATGGTCCTCGCTGGACAAGCAACGGGCAAGCTTGCCAGACAGTCCTATTAATGGCAAGCTATATGGCTAAAGCGGATCCCCATGCCTTGGCTCTTGACAACCTGTTTCCTAATACTCTCCAGAATCAGGTAAACAGGATGCATACCTCGAGGTAGAGAGTACACATTCAATTTCAATAAATATCTCAGGAATTTCCAGGTGTAGGAAGGTGCATTGAACTCAGCTTTGTTTGGATTCTCTCAAACATTGTAATTGGTTTCTTCATGAGTCTTCTCTCGGCTGAAGACCTTTCTTTTCGACCACACCTTTGGTCACCTTCCTCCCCCTCCCCCTGGTTCGGACCCGGGATCCGTTACTGTGAAGCGCTCTGAGACGCCGTCCAGCGTGGAGGGCGCTATATAAATCCAAGTTGTTGTTGTTGAGTCAGACACCTGGCTGACAAAAAAAAAGCTCACAGACTAAGCTGACAATCGAATGTAGTACTGGGAGAACATTGCATTTCTGGAGGTGCCGTTATTTGGATGAGATTTTCGATCAAGGTTCTGTCTGTCTGCATGTTCAAGTTAAAGATCTCGAAAAGCGAAGGTAACTTCTCCTAGTATCCTGGTCAAGAATCCTTCAGATAAATTGGTCATTGACCTCATTACTTTCTTGTGAGAAATTGCTGTGTGCAAATTGGTTGCTTCAGTCCCTACAATTACACAGTCAATATACTGTACAGCAGTGACCTGAGAATAATAATCCTTGCATTTTATATAGCGCCTTATCATGGCTTTGAGACATCTCAAAGCACTTCACAGAATATACTGTAAATTGAGTTGACTGTATATTTTGTGGGCAATCGTGGCAGCCAATTGTGCACAGCAGTGTCCCACAAACAGTTGTGGATTGAGTGATCAAATTATTATCATGTAATTTTTTTAAGGAATTATTTCCCCCAGTAAAGAAATTCAACAATCGACCAACAACCGGGTTCCTACTTACCGCTAGGTAACAGAAGCGTGTGGATTAAGAAACTTTTTGCCCTCCCCGGAAATCAAACCCAGGTCCTCTTGCTTGTGAGGCGAGTGCTCTAACCGCTAAGCTTCAGGACTCCACAATCCTATATTTGACAACATAGATCCTATGTACACTATATCAAATGCAAGTATTATTATTATTTCAATACTTACAATGTGATCCAGCATATGAATCTTTTCGCTGGGAATAACACGGCCTATCAATGATATCTGTTCATCGAGGCGTAACCCCCAGCCTTCCAGCTCTGTCCGTGCCTCTTTATTTCTGAAAAGAATGTGGTCATCATTTTATTCTATTACTGCAAATCTTCTCCCACAGATGCTCTGTCCTTAAAATAGATTAGATCAAATAAATAATTACTGTACACTTGATATGTCACCAGGGTATAATTATATGTCACAAGCTAATTGGAAAATTCTTCACTGCAATTTGAAATACAAGATCTAAGTGTGTGGTGGTGAAACTGGAACAATCCATGAGAAAATATGGCCTTACACTTCACTATCACAACTTTGAACACATACTTGGGTAGTGTTGGAATATTACAGCCCTGTTTGTAACACTGATCAGAAAATTATGTGCTGAACATTTCTATGTATCCATAAAAAGTCCAGCTCTTGATCCTGGACTCAGTACCATCCATAGTCATGGATTTGCGGTATTCCATGCCACGGAGAATCGATCTTCTCCAACAATGAATGTGTGTAACCATATTGACTATATGACTATATCATTTGACTATAATAAGAATTCTTTCACTTCATATAGTGCGTTTCACGTCAGAAAGACATCCCAAAGTGCTTCACAGGATTTATTGTGAAGTTTAGAGCAAGTGTATTTGCAGGCAAACGCAGCAGCCCAATTGTGCACAACAATGTCCTAAAAACAGCCAAGGAATAAATGGCCAATTTTATCTGGTGGATTGTGGTCCAGGACAACAGGAGAAACTCCCTTCTCTTTTCCAATAGTGCAGGTCTTCAAAGTCAACCTGGATTGTGAGACTGGACCCGTTTCCCAACATGAAAGGTACTATACAAGCACAAAGTATTGTTTAGGTCTTTGAGTGGGTTAACATATTTACCTCTGAATATTATCTATCAGCACATGCAATCGTTGCTGTCTCTTTTCAGGCGTCAGCTGTGTTTCTGCAGCCAGGTCCTTCATTACATGGAAGTCAGAACGAGCCTGGTTACTGAGTCCTGTGAGGAGAGAGAAAGTAAATCTATATCATTTATAGTAGAGTGCTTACAATTTCATAAATGGCAGCAAATCCATTTCCAGCACTATCTGTCAAGTGAGTTGACTAATAACTCTCGGGTTATGTGACAGTTCCTGGCATTTATCAAAGCACCTTTGCACATTTAAAATAAAAGAGAAACTGATTGGAAAAAAACACACTAGCATAGCTGTTTTTAAAGAAGCAGCTGAACATTCAGATCTCTTCATTTATCATCAATTATTTTAGAAACGGGAAATTTATATAACTGATTTTTATTGTGGACATCATACAGAAAAGATAACCATCTTCGGAGAAAGGAAATCAAAAGAGTTTGAATTTTTGACAAATGAAGCTCTCGACAAGAAATTATTCTTGCCATTAAGAGCAACAATGTTTACAACTTGAACTAAGATTTCCCAAGAAGTTTTTTAGGGTATTATCACCCAATTCTTGCTGTTTCATTTTTATAGAATTCTGTAGCACTCAACAAAACCAACACTCACTCTTTCACATAAAGATCACTCTTTTTGTCTGTGTAAAACTTCTCATATTACAATATACTACACAGAAGGCACAATGTTGTTTTTAGATATTGCTTAGGGTCTCAGTCTGGTTCAGACTCACTCTCACGTCTGAGTCAGAATATTCTGGATTCAAGCCTCACGACGGGACTTTCAAATCCCATTGTCTAAGATGACATTTCAATAGGGTGCTAGGAGGAGTGCTCTGAGACACTACCCTGTGTGAAGGGTGCTATATAAATGCAAGTTGTTGTTGGTGTGGTAGAGGGAGCCCTGCATTGTCCTTCAGATGAGATATTAAACCAAAGTCCCATCTGTGCAGTTAAAGTGGATGATAAAGATCCCATGGGACTATTTGAAAAGATCCTAGTGATCTGGCCAACAATCCCCCAGATAAAAATTGGTCATTCACTTCATGGCAATTTGTGGATCAATGTTGCGCACAAATTATCTATCAAATTCACCTTCTAAATAAGACAGTCACTACAATTTATAGTTGATCTCACTTTGAGAGGACTTCCTGACATGAATGACACTATATCAAATGCGAGGATTATTATTATTAGTAGTAATAATATTCTCTGAGATGAATGTGTTTCTTTATCACAATTGTTAGCCAATGCTATGAAAATCTATTTGTCTTATATGATTGTTTAGCACTTCATTTTACATTGCCCAGTCTTTAGGCAACACCATGCATGTTTACTTAGGATATACTATGAAGCATAGTGACTGGGTATTTTGTAGGCAAACTTTCTTCAACAGAGGTAGCTCCTCTTAACTCTAATGATATTCACTTATCTATTTTATGTACCATTACTATACTGTTTTTGTGTGCATAATTGGTGTACCTAAGCACTCTGAGACATTATCCTGTGTGGAGGGTGCTATATAAGTGCAAGCTGTTGTTGTTGTTAATAATAATAATCCTTGCATTTGATATAGCACTTTTCACATCTTCTAGATGTCTCAAAGCGCTTCACAGAATATGCTGTAAAGTGAATTGACTGTATATTTGTGGGCGAAACGGGGCAGCCAATTGCACACAGTAGTGTCCCACAAACAGTCGTGGATTGAAAATGACCAATTTATTATTTTTTTTTGTTTTGGAGGGATTATATTAGGCATGTGGAGTAGGGAAACTTGCCCAAGGTTTCGCCCTGCCTGGAATTTAACCCAGGTGTCTCGCTTGCAAGGCGAGTGCTCTAACCACTGAGCTACAGGACACCACGTTGTATTATTTCAGTATGTTACCTGTGAGAAAACAGAACTCTGGGATGAGGTGAATTAGACGTGGAGCTGCATCTTTGTCTAAATGTTTATTTTTTAGCAGACTGACTAATAACGGCTGACTCAGGTCAGTGACGGAGATATCATATTGCTGTGAAGACAAAACCAAAAGATTCTACAAGTAAAATACATCAAACAAATTAATAAATGTGTATTATTCCACATTCTTTAACAAAAGTAGCACCTCTGGCTCCATTCAAATTCAACGACTTTACACTTGTTGGTAAATTCTCAGCAAAGACAATCTCGAATAAGTCTTAATGCTCAATTTCGTTGTTGGCAACAGATTAGCTAAATAACATCTATTAGAGTCTTAATGGATAATAAAACAAGATTATGGTGAATTGGAAATGAACAACATAATAAGACTGCTACTGAAAACAGACAAAAGGGCACCCTTTATACACGAAAATCACATCAATGAAAGAAAAAACAGTATGAAGAGGCAATTTCCAGTTCACTTCACTCGAAGATGAATACATCAAAGAGTTGATTCTGCATTCACTGTAAATATACAATGTGAAAATCTTTCATAAGCTCAATACACTAACAATCAGAAAACTAGTCATTCACCATATGAAAATAATGTGAAGCATCAATAAAAAGTGAAAATTATTGTCATTTTACCTAAGTTGAACAACAACAACAAATTACATTTGTCTACTGCCTTTTGCATCGGGAAGATGTCTCAAAGCAAGTTCAGATCCCCAGAAATTATGCTCATGTTGCACAGTGCTCTAATTGCTGACAGCATCACACTCCATGGATGCACTCTGCACCTCACAGAGCCAATACGGAACCTCAGTGTTCTGTTCGACCCTCAACTGTCCTTCATCCCCCACATCAGCGCCATTACCAGCTCCGCCTTTCCCCACCTCCACAACATTGCCTGTCTCCGGCACTGTCTTTTATCGCAGGCTGCCAAGACATACATGCATTCATTACATCCAGACTCGATTACGCAAAATCTCTGCTTGTCGGCCTCCCCAACTCCTCCCTCCACAGGCTGCAGATCATCCAGAACTCTGCAGCCCATGTCCTCTCACACACCAGGCGCCACGACCCGGCTCCACTGGCTTCCTATTATTCAGAAGATACAGTTCAAGATCCTCGTCCTCATCTTCAAAGCCCTCCACAGCCTACTCCTCCCTATGTCCATGACCTCCTAACCCCCTACCAGCTTGCCCGCTCCCTCCGATCATCAGGCTCCAGCCTGCTTCACAGCCCCCGCCTTGCCCACCCTAACATTGGTGAGCAGGCCTTCAGCCTCTCTGCCCCCACTCTCTGGAACTCCAACCCACAGTCCCTCTGCCTCAAACCCTCCCTTTCCCCCTTCAAGATCAATCTCAAGACCCTCCTCTTCAACTGTGCCTTCGGTCACCCTCCTACCCCTACCCTCCCTCCACCCCTCCTGATCCCAACCATCAGCTCGGGTGTGGTTCCCTGACTGTCCTGCGCTTTGGGACATCCTCCTAACGTGAAAGGTGCAAAACAAATCTAATTTGTTGTTGAAAGGAAAGTAAAAGAGAGCAGCAAAGATTATCCCAAATATTAGAGGGATGAATTATGAGATTCATCTAGATAAAATTCAGCTCGTCAGTCTTACAGAGATATCTCAGAAGGGTGTCGTACAGAAGTATATACGTGATAAATGGGATGGAGAAAGAAAGTAAATTCAGAAATATACTTTCAGATGCACCAAGTTGGAAGGTGGAGAGGGTATACGCTGTGAATGGCAATTTCAAGAATGAGACAAGAATGTATTTCTGTATACAGAGGGTAATTCATGACTACAGCGGGTTACTAGGTTTTCGCTATATCTTTGAAGAAACAGCTGGATATGGGAAGACATTAGGATAGGCATTCTGGAAAGATGAGATCCAATGAGCCAAAGAGCCATCTTCATCTGTCACTCTTTTGCAATTGATAAGGGAGGTATCTCACACTGAGCACTTATTTCGCCTTTTGCAATATTATCTGCCAATTGCCAATTGTGCAAAGCAGTGTTCCACAAACAATCGTGGGTTGAGTGAGCCAAATTTTTTTAAGGGATTATTACACCCGGAAAGTGATCCACCAATCGACCAACAACTGGCTTTCAATTTATTGCAGGTTTCACCTCGCTTGCGAAGCGAGTGCTCTAACCAATTCACTACAGGACTCCATTTTAAAGGAGACAATAAACTAGGGAGACAATAATTTGAAAAACAAACTATCTTCCTGAATAATGATGCAAAGTATCATGTTTACTTATCCATATCCCACCTGTGTGTAATAATCAATATAGCTAATTTCAGTGCCATCAGTCTTTTTGAAGGTGCCAGTCGGATTCGCAGACCAGTCAATGTCATCTATGCGGTAGGTTTTGTTGTTATATCTGGGAAATGGAATAAAGCACATTGCAATATCTTTAAATACCTGTCACAATTGAGTCAAAAATCCATTTGTGTTAATGAAAATGTTTAGTTGTTTATGGCTAAGTGTTCACAAAATGCACTAAATTTACTAAATGTACTAAAATGTCACTAATGACTAATGACATTCTGAACATCTGTAATCAGGGCTCCCTCTGCCTCCTTGTCCTCCTCGACCTCTCTGCCGTCTTCGACACTGTCGACCACTCCATCCTCATACACCACCTCTCCTCTTTACTTAACCTTCGCGGACCTGCCCGTGCCTGGATCGAATCCTATCTCTCTCACTGTCTCCACTTTGTTGCCTCCAACGGTTTCTCCTCCAGCCCCCGCACTGTCCCCGCGTCCCCAAGGGATCTGTCCTTGGCCCTCTCCGCTTTAATATCTATATGCTCCCCCTTGGTGACATCATCCGCAGACTGGGGTCAACTTCCATATGTATGCGGATGACACCCAACTCTATCTTTCTGTAGACACCCTCAACTCCAGGACCACTGCTGTCCTGACAGACTGCCTGTCAGACATCAAGTCCTGGATGAGGGCAAATTTCCTATAGTTGAATGTGAACAAGACTGAGGCCCTCCTGATTGGCTCACGTTAGCGCCTCTGCATCTCAAGCTCTGGCAGCATCAACCTCCATGGTTGCTCACGACAACTCACCAAGCCAGTCAGGATCCTAGGTGTCTTGTTCGACCCTCAACTGTCTTTTCTTCCCCACATCTAAGCCATGACCTGCTCTGCCTTCCCTCACCTCCATAACATCGCCCACTACTTTACCCCTCAGGCCATTGAAACTCTTGTTCATGCCTTCATCACATCCAGGCTCGATTATGCAAACGTCCTGCTTGTCGGCCTTCCCAACTCCTCCCTCCACAGGCTGCAGATAATCCAGAACTCTGCAGCCCGTGTCCTCTTCCGCACTAAACTCAGTGACCCCATCTCCCCCATTCTCGTTCGACTCCATTGGCCCCCTATCCTTCAGAGGATCCAGTTCAAGATCCTGGTCCTCACATACAAAGCCCTCCCTGGCCTCGCTCCACCTTACCTCTGCGACCTCCTACCCCCCTACCAACCCGCCCGTTCCCTCCACTCAGCTGGCTCCGGCCTGCTCCACGTCCCACGACCCAACTGCCCCACCATTGGCGGAAGAGCCTTCAGCCACTCTGTCCCCAACCTCTGGAATTCCATCCCCCAATCACTCCGCCTCGCCCCCTCCTTAGCCTCCTTCAAGTCCCGCCTCAAGACCCTCCTCTTCGACCATGCCATCGGTCACCCATCTTCCCCTCCCTTCTCCCTCCCTGACTCCAGCTTGGGTCTGAAATGCTGTACACTGCCCAGCGCCTTGGGACGTCCTCCCGACGTGAAAGGCGCTATACAAATGTAATCTTGTTGTTGTTGTAAATTTGTCTACCATATAAGTTATTATTATTATTAAATTAAACACAATTTTGAGTTACAAATAACATACAACATAAATGTAAACTGAATACTGTACATGTGCTTTGACTTCCACATGTGTGAATTAACAATCCTTTAAAATGTAATCTGTTCAAGACATCACTAGTATTGAGGGTGCAGCAAGTATAATTGTTGGTGAAGTAATGATGCAAATAAATCACATTAAACAAGAAGAAACCTAAATCATGTAACTTCTGATATTGTAAATCTTTAGAAGCATATCATTTATTACTTTAAGAAATCAATAAATACATTTAGCTAACTAATATATTCTAGAAGTAATTATGCCAGAAAATGGCATAAATTCATCTATTGCATTGGTTATAACTTCCTCAGTTTGGTATGGAGTTTTCTCAACAACGGCTACAAAATAAAAAAAAATTTGTTTGGTGTTCTTCAAAGTAGTCTTTTTATAATTAGTGTTTAACTGAGTTACATCATCTTTGTTATTCATACTGCCATATCATAATAAATCTCATTTTAGAGAACTGTTTCAGTTTTGGACACTCATAAGAAAGAGCCTTGGAGGGTATCCAGCAATGTTCACTAAATTATTAACTGGATTGAAGGGCTTAGCTGTGATAAGAGGCTGGTAGACTGGGTTATATTCCTTAGAACAGAAATGTTTAAGGGATGGTTGAATTGAGCTATTTTAAACAATTAAAATTGACACGATAGACTGTGGACAAGTCTTTCTCCTGGTAGTGAGATCGATTACAAGAGGGCACAGGCTTAAAATCAGAAATGAAACACTTAGAATTTAGGCCAAGAAGCATTTCTTCATACAAAGGGATGTGAAGCTATGGAATGTTCTGCTCCAGAGGTTAATCAATAGCGATGCTTGAAAGAGAGATGAATAGATACTTGGATGGTAGAGGTATTAATGGGTATGATGAAAGGGCAAGGCACCAGGCCTAAAAGATTTGCCAAGATCTAATAAACTGGTGGAACTGCTTGATAGGCTGAATGACTTCCACCTTTTCCTATTTTCCTCCGGTCCTAAATAAAATTACAAACACTTTCATGATAAGTAGCAGCGAGTCTGCTGCACTGTACAGTAAACTGTTGAAGTTTCAAACAATAATCAAATGCAAGGATTATAATAATCTCTTTCTTTTACCTCGTAAGAACAATTAATCCCAACAACTCTTTCATACAGGTGTCACAGAACTGTTGATCACCATTTCGATTGTACAGCTCAGTCATGAATTCCAACACTGTCTCACTACGCAGAACCTTGTGGCTTACATCAGCAGACAATAAGATCTTAGCCTCATATCTCATGATTGAAGTAGAAAATCCTGGCCAGAGAATCAATCTGTAATGAGAAAATATGTCAAATTTAAATATAAAGTACATTCTCCCATGTACTTTGTATCAAGCCTTGATTATGCACTTTGAGGATGGACGATCAAGAGAATGACAAAGATGGTGTAGCAACTGGCAAGTGACGGAGAGAGAAAGAGAGAGAGAACAGATGGTGTGAGCACAGCCTGTGTCAAAGGATCTTGAGAAACTAATAGACATTTAGCTGCAGATGAGAAAAATTGGATGTGAAATTGAAAGATTATTGCCTGAGAAATCTGTTGTAAATGCAAAGCTAGTGAAGACAAGTGGTAAGTTTGGAGGTGTTTAGAAGGAGATATGAATTAATCTTTAACCTATCGATAATCAGGAGATCATGGCAGGTCACAGTGACCAATAGCTATGTATCGAGCGGCACTGAATCTTACCTGGGAGATGAGCCTCTATCTAGTCTGTCCTCTCAGTGGGTAAATTACTTGATATCAGTAAGCATTAGGGGAAATAGGGAGTCAATTTTTAAACTTTTTCATGAAATTGTACCAATAGTTGCCAATAATATTAATAATAATCCTTGCATTTGGTATAGTGCCTTTCACATCGAGAGGAAGGTCTTAAAGGATTTCATAGGGTATACTACAAAGTATGATTGTGTAGGCAAGCAAGGCAGTCAATTTGCACACAGCAAAGTGCCACAAATATGCATGAAGTGAATGACCTATTTTATTTAAGGGATTGTTAGTCCAGACATCGAATGAAACTCCCTGTTCTTGAATAGTGCATGGGATCTTTGGAGGGTCAGCTGAGATTACACAAGTTCAATGGCCAAATTTGGGGCTTGATGCCACAAAATTCTGATTTTTATAAATTCTTGAGAATGTCTTGAAATAATATTTTTGATATAATTTGGTTCAGAAATGTTTGCGCAAACTTCAAAGGCTTCATTCAATCAACGACTTAGATAATAACATACAAAACTACCGAATGTTCAAATAGATCGTACCTATGTTGGGGAATCTGAATTGGAGTTGATGGATCATAGAAGTTCCTTCCAATCTGATACATTGACAACATTTTCATTGCCCTAGTTAAAAGAAAAATAACAACTTACATTAACATAGTGGCCTTCACGTGGGGTACTGTCTTTTACAAAGACATGGACGAACGCCAAGCAAGAGAGAAGAGGGAGGGGGAGAGGGGAAAGGGAAGATGATCATAGGTAAGGTCAAAGAGGTAGGTTTTAAGGCAGGATTTAAAGACAGATAGAGACTTTGTGAGATGGAGAGGGACAGAGTTCCTGAGGTTAGGGGTGTATAATGTGAAGGGTGGGAGATGCATAGCAAGCTTGAGTTAGCAGTGGTGAGCAGAGGAGTAGTGTAGTAGAAGATAAAAAAGATAGGGAGGTGCTAAGGCATGAAGGGGTTTATAGGTGAGGGTTAAGTATGTAGAATACTTTTCTTTGCACTGGAAGTCCTATGTTATTCAAAACAATACATCTGGTTTCATTGTTAATGCCAACAAAATTCACTCAAATACATTCTCATCCTAAATTGTTAATTACTGTATTTATTTGTGGGGGAAATAAAGGAAATAACGGTACATTCTCTCTATTATCTTTTCATCAACAACAACAACAAAATTACATAGCACCTTTCACGTTGGGAGGACGCCCCAAGGGGCTGGACAATCAAGAGTTTCGGACCCCAGCTGAGGGTTGGGATTGGGGAGGGTGGAGAGCAGGGTGGGGGAAGCAGGGTGATCGAAAGCATGGTCCAAGAGGAGGGTCTTGAGATGGGTCTTGAAGGAGGCAAGGGAGGGGTGAGACAGAGGGACTGCGGGATGGAGTTCCAGAGGGTGGGGGCAGAGTGGCAGAAGGACCAACCATCATTAGTGGGGCAAGCGAGCCGTGGGGGACGTGAAGCAGGCTGGAGCCTGCTGAGCGGAGGGAGCGAGCAGAATGGAAGGGGGTTAGGAGGTCGCAGTGGTAGGGGGGAGCAAGACCACGGAGGGCTTTGAAGGGAAGGACCAGGTTCTTGAACTGTATCTCCTGTGTGATGGGAAGCCAGTGGAGTTCGGCAAGGACTCGTATTCACATTCATCTCATGGCAATTACATTAAACAGTTGATGGGAAAAAACTAATACCATTATTGTGGTACCAAGTTTGAAGTGTTAGAATCAGGACTTTAATCACCCAATTTCAACAAGGTAATGGCTTCCACAATTTCAAAGCATCATTGACTTCCTTCAACTCACTCAATGCCACTCACTTAAACCTAAATGTATTCTGTACAGATACTCCAAACTATTTTAACATAGCCTTCACATTCAGTCACCTGGAAGATTTCCCACAATAATATGTTTGCTGAAGATAACCACAGAATTTTCAACAACTACTTAACTTTTGGAATCAATACTTTGTGTGTAGTTGATTTCATATTTCTGAAAACCAACTCACTTTTTAATAGTGATATTAAAGAACTGGATGCACATGGGAGAATCCTGTGGAAATTCACTTGTCAGATTAATGGTTATATGCACTACCTGGCCATCAATCATGACGCTTGACAGTTCTGTAACCTAGAATGATAGGAGATTTACAGAGCAGTTATTATGCAGACAGAATATCAACGTTCAGAGTAAATGTGTAAACAGTTCTTTGGAAGCCTGTTAAAAATAAACTTGCATTGATTTAAAAAAGCGCCTGCATTCTAAATAATAATATTTCTTGCATTTGATCTGCAAATTGAATTGACAACTGTTTTATGAAGCAGATGAGAATTATCTTGAGCTACACAGCTCAAGTTCCTGATTCTCAAAATCAATTACATTAATAGGATTATTTGACAATCAATTTGTGTTTTTAAAAAAAACAAATTAGTTGTCAGTTGTCCTGGGGTAAGCATATATAGTTCCTAATTCACAACCACACTATTTAATTTCCAATGCCAAAGTTGCTCTTGTACCAAAAGCCTTGGAACACAAGTCACTGTAGCAAAAATAATTAGTCTGAAGATACAACAACAAAATTACATTTACAGAGCGCCTTTCATGTCGCAAGGACAACCCAAGGCGCTGAAGATAGCCTTTTCCTGCAAGAGCATCACCCGACATCTCTAGTTGGTGTTGAAAGCTTATGCTCGCTGAACCCACACTGTTCATTGTTCATTAATCTACTCATTGTTAATCATGATCCCACATCCCTTCACTATTTATTTTTCTGAATGCTGTCATGATATTTACAATCTTTGCATGATTTCTATGAAATGCTGTACACTGTCCAGCGCCTTGGGACGTCCTCCCGACATGAAAGGCGCTTTACAAATGTAATCTTGTTGTTGTTTTATTGGCCTACTAACTCTAGGTCTGACATGGGAGTTTAATCACTTTTGATGTGCAATTGTACAATGCTCCAGGATTCCTCTATAATGATGTATAACAAGGCTTTTTCTGATCTTTTCCCCTTGACATTTTACATGAAGCTATATAGTGACACAGCATGCAAACAGACTATTCGGCCCAGCTAGTCATGGGGGAGTTTATACTGATACTTGACGCTAAACATCAACTATTCGTCCATTGGTGCTGTCCCCACTCTCTGAAACTCCATCTTGCAGTCCCTCCGCCTAGCCCCCTCCCTTGCCTCCTTCAAGATCCATCTCAAGACCTTCCTCTTCGACTGTGCTTTCCATCATCCTACTTCCCCCCCTGCCCTCCACCCTGACCTGACCCCCTGCTCGGGTCCAAAACACTGACTGTCCAGTGCTTTGGGACATCCTCCCAACTTGAAAGGCGCCATACAAATGTAATTTTGTTGTTGTTGGGTCTACAAGGTACAAGAGCAACTTTGGCATTGGAAATCAAATAGTGTGGTTGTGAATTAGGAACTGTAAATGCTTACCCCAGGACAAATAATCAAATAATCCTATTAATGTAATTCACTGCTCACACATGTATACTTGAACTGACATCAGCCATCACAGCAACATCGCACCCTTTGCATGTGTGAACAGAATACAAAATATGTTTCTCACTTGGTTTTCCAGTTTATGAGGGAGGAAAAGCATGGCTCCATCAAATGCCCTGATCTTTCCCAAAAGGTCGCTGTGGCTAAATAGCAGTGCCATCCGCAAACGCTTTGATTCTATATCAGGCTTGAAAGTCACATGGTACTGGTTCAGACACCAGGAGTGAGGTGACCTAAAGGCAAAGAGGTTTGTGATGATCCTGACTGGATTTCCGCTGGAGCCTGCAAATGTCCAAAATAGAGATTCCAACAAAACTTATAGTTTCAAAGAGAAGTTGAAAACAAACAGTATCACATTATAATGTAATCCTTGCATTTGATATAGCCCATTTTACATTGGGAACATGTCTCAAAGCGGTTCAGAGGATTTACTGTACTCTGTAGTCAATGTGTACGCTGCAGGGGAACAAGGCACCCAATTTGCACACAACAAATGTCCCACACACAGCCATGGAGTGGTGGCCAATTTTATTTGGAGGATTGGTGAACAGGACATTGGGATACAACTTCTCTTTCCGAATGTTACTATGGGATCTTTAACGCCCACTTGAACGGGCAGACAGACCTTTGGTTTAACATCTCCTCCAAAGGACAGCATCTCCAACAATGCAGCATATCCCGTGCACTGCATTGGAATGTCAAACTAGACTAAAATTATAATCTGGACATGAATGTGCCATACATAAAGGTTAACTATATGAAAATACTAAACTATTACAATCCCTTTTCATATTAATTATTATTTATCATTTAGCATGTGGTCCATGTTGATGGTGGCTCAGCCCTCTCCTGGAGATTACTTGACTGCTTCAGGAATCCAGAAATATTTTTTCTTCTCTGAATTGACCTTTTTGTTGTTTCTTTGGCTTTTCGCCTCCCCTATGAGGGGACCGAGTAGCCAGCACCAGGAGGTGAATATTATGTGGGAGGTAGTGTAGAAGAATTGTACTGGGAGCAAACTTGATGGGTCATTGGGCCTCCTTCTTATCGATGCAACTATGGAGGTGTGTATCGCTGGCATCTAATGTCCCATATATTAATATCCATGGATATTAATTTTCTGTCAGGTTTGAAATGCCTTTCACATAACACTTTGTATATCAGAAGATTTGCTTAGAGATTGTTTTTTTTCGGTCCAAATTAAGAACAGGAAGATTTTGTTAGAATGTTTCAGCCTTGTATATTAAAAAAANTCTGCCACATCTTCAAAACTTATTGAATTCCGAATATTAATGATTTTTATTGCAGCTGACAAAGAAATTATATACAACATCTAGACAGACTCGATACCTGATTTGCAATCTTTCACATGTTCCATCCCCTTCCTGGTATTCACTCCAAAATCAAAGACATTACGCTGCTTGTATCGTCCTCTCTCCATTATTACTTGTCTTTCAAAACCAGCAGATATCATCTCTGTTGATCAGGAATACGATTGCTAATAATGCATTTGGGTTAGTGGACCAGAAAGATGGCTCTCTCATTTACCAATACTGCAGAGTGAACTCACTTTGTTCTCTGGTGACTTTATTTTACCATCATAGGAGTTTGAGCTTCAGATATAGGCTGACTTCCCAAACCCCATTTCAGCGAACTTCGATATAGTGAGGGTCTATTTATATGAGTGTGTAATGTCAACCAGACCACATCTGAAGTCCGTTTCTGGCGTCGAATAATTGGAAGCAGCACTGGCATCACTTCTTGAACACATTATACATCCATGGTTCACAGAATTAACTGTGAGCCTGAAATCAAATGTGCTGTGTAATTTATGTTAACCAAACTCTTTGCTATTTTCACCCCTTGATGTGTAAGAAAAATGCTTATAAGTATTTTTACCCAGAGAGTTGTTATGGTCTGGAATGCACTCCCTGAAAGGGTGGTGGAAACAGATTCAATAATAGCTTTCAAAAGGGAATTGGATAGATACTTAAAAAGGATAAATTTGCAGGGCTATGGGGTAAGAATGGGAAAGTGGTAGTTCTTTCAAAGAGCTGGCACAGGCACATGGGCCGAATGGCCTCTTTCTGTGCTGCAAGATTCTATGATACTAAGGGGGAGGGGATAGGAAGCCTGAAACATAATGGCAAGTATTTTAGTTTTACTCATTTTGTTTTCTGTACCAGTTTGTACTTATTTTACCCAATTGGTAAATTTCATTCGGCAACAATTTACAATGAGCTCACGTTGGCCTTCGTGTGTTTTACTTCGATTCTGACTGTTGCTGAGAGTATTCATTCGTCTTGTGGTAGATATCCCTGAAAGCAGCTGAGCCTGATTCGCAGCTGAAACCTAGAACAGAACAGTAAAACATTAAGACACTGTGAGCTTGGGTGCAAATTCTCAATTCTCCTGCGCCTTAGGATGTCCTCCCAACGTGAAAGGCACGATTTAATGTCTTGTTGTGCATAATGATTTCTGTTTGTCCCCACTCTCAGTTAACCCTCCTCTCTTTATCTGCTTTTCATCCCATAGCCTATTTTTGTCTGTTTTCCCCACTCTCTATGTCTTATTCCCCACCTCTCATTGCCTGTTGCCACTCTCTCTATGTCTTGTTCCCACTGTCTCTTTGTTTGTTCCCCACCTCTCTTTGTTTTATTGCCCCATCTCTTTGTCTGGTCTCTCCCCTCTCTTTGTTTTGTTCTCCTCCCTCGTTGTCCTGGCTTCCCTCTATCTGTATTTCTTTTCCTTCTATCTGTCTCAGCACCAGGCTTCGCGACCACATCACTCCCACCCTCGCTCGCCTCCCCTGGCTCCCCATCCCCCAGAGGATCGAATTTTAAGATCCTCATCCTCACCTACAAGGCCATTCACGGCCTTGCTCCCTCCTACCTCTCCGACCTACTATCCCCCTACCTACCTGCCCGTACCCTCCGTTCCTCTGGCTCTGGTCTGCTCCACATTCCCCACCCCAACTGCCCTACCATCGGTGGCCGGGCCTTCAGCCCCAAGGCTCTGGAACTCCATCCCCCAGTGCCTTCGCCTTGCTTCCTCCCTTTCCTCCTTCAAGGCCGGTCTCAAGACCTTTCTCTTCGACCGAGCCTTCAGCTCCCCTCTCGACTCTCTACCCCCTCCTTGCTCCCTCCCTTCCCTCCCTCCCCTGCTCGGGTCCCGACCCAACTGTCCAGCGCCTTGGGACGTCCTCCCAACGTGAAAGGCACTCTATAAATGAAATCTTGTTGTTGTTGTTCCGCCCTCTCTTTGTCTGTTCTCCTCCCACGCCACTTTTTGTTTACTTTCTTCCCCCTCTTTCCCCCTGGACCAATTAGGTTAACCGGAGCCATTTACTCCATTCCAGTTTTTACTTCCTCCTGTACTTCATACTGGGTCAAAACCTAAATGCAAAACATGAGAGGTTTATGAGTTTTACCGCACAAAAAACACCCCATGGGTAATGCCCATTCTCAGCTGGTAAAATCTATTCAGCATCAGGCTCATCTGGACAGCTCCAGGTTCTTCTAAAATGCTGACTCCCCTCCCCCTCCCCAATTGTATGCAGCTCTTGCCCTTAATTTACATCATAAGAATAGCTGAGGAATGGGAAAACACAGCTATGGGGAGTCTCTGTGAAGCAGTAAAATCAATGTTATTTTTAACAGATAGTATTTACATTTCTACCTATTGATTTATAAGGCTGAACTGAAGAGAAAGCGCTCTCCCTAGACTTTCCTTCAAATGCCTGCTGGCAACACAAGTGTAGATGAAAATGACAATTTTCTTTTTTTAAATTACTGATCTTAGAAAATTAATTTGAGGAACTTTAACGATGCTTCATTTATAGAATTAGATGAGCAAGTGTAAAACTTGATTTATACAGTAGATATGAAATTCGAGAATTAGGTGATGTTCTGAAAATATTCAGCATTTTGTAACAAAAAATGTTCAGTTGATTAACCAAACACATTTAAATTGGTTCACATTTGCTAAACCATGTTACAGTACATATGAATATTGTGAGTTGTGTGGAAACAGTCAAGTGAGGAGTTTCTAAGAATATTATGCTACTGGTAAGAAAATATTTCAAGCTGCTGTCACTTTAAATATATCATCCTCTATCTAGCCTGCTATTGTTTGAAGGTAGAATTCAAACAATTAACTGCGCCGTATATATTACTGAATGTAGAATCACTGAAAGCTGTCTTTTGATGTTCAAGATACAAAAGAAAAACTAACTTGGCAAAGAACAAAATAAAACATACCACAGTCCCAGAAGAGGTCACATTTCCATGTCTTTGTTCTTCCTTCAACAAGGCTCTGCCTTGGGCTTGTGTTTGAGCTCGCCCAATCATTGTCTACAGCTTTTAAAAAACATCCCGAGGTAAGTCTGGGCAAACAATTTTAAAATCACTTATTAACTTAAAAACCTTCTCCTGAAGCGATCAAGCACAAATGGGAATTTTCTGCCTGCAACTACTCTTAAAAAGCTACAGCATATAATAATAATAATAATAATCCTTGCATTTGATATAGCGCTTTTCACGTCGGGAGGACGTCCCAAAGCGCTTCACAGAACACACTGTAAAGTGAATTGACTATATATTTGTGGGCGAACGCGGCAGCCAATTGCGCACAGCAATGTCCCACAAACAGTCGTGGATTGAAAATAACCAATTTATTATTGGTTTTGGTTTTGGAGGGATTATTATTAGGCTCTGTGTGGAGTAAGGAAACTTGCCCAAGGTTTCGCCCTCTGCCTGGAATTGAACTCAGGTCTCTCGCTTGCAAAGCGAGTGCTCTAACCACTGAGCTACAGGACTCCACATATTTCCACCAACTAGATAGAACGCATTAACATGGAAATGTCTAAATAAACAATAGTTAATTTCAGGAGATAGTCTTTATATCGACACAAAAAAATTAGATCAAAAATATTCATTTTTAAAAAAATTAAAATAAAGCCATCAGCTAACAAAGGTAATACCAACAGCATCCTATCCTGTTACATACGTTGATATGCAATTCAAAAACAAAGAAAGAGCAATGAAAGACATTAGGAATAGAAATCCATTCAAAGTAATGCAGCCTTCAATCTACCAAGACAGATGGTGAACTGTCTCCTTTCAGTACAATATTCTGTAGTTCCATCAGCAATGTCGTTCATATCATAATTTAAGTCTCCATTTCATGGCTACAGTATTAGTACATTCTGTGTCACAAAGATCAAGTACTTTAATTCATACTACAAGTAACATTCTAATTATTGAAACCTGATAACATGGAAGGGACACTCTTCTATTCCTAGTATATGTATTTCAGTGGGTTTATTTCATTCGGAATTCAGGTCAAAGATTCACAGAGCAAAATTGGGTTTTTATCAGGTTTGATAATGCTTCATTTTTGTAAAGCAAAATGATTTCTTGGCAAAATATTACGGGTTCATTTGGGTTTTGATAATCATGTTCAATTGTATAAAATCTATTCATGCATTTTATATGAAATATATTATATAAAATCTATTTAAAAAGATATTCGCTTAAACATTGTTCTCTTGCCATTTACACTTTCAAGCATGATTGAATCTCTTTAAAAAAATGTTTTGGGCAGTGATATGACAAAGTGAAATTCCATTCAAGTGCAATTTAGATTATTCATTAACAGTGTACTCTATGGTTTTAAATCATACCTTCAAAGAATATACCAAAACATACAACCAAAAATTTAGAAATTTAATTGAAGCAGTTTACATTTATTCTGGATCTTTACTGAGATATAACGGCCCAATATAAAGCACCACACAAAACAATGGGCTAAAATTCCAGTTGGCAATATGCATAGCAGCTTTGGCGATGCATAATTATAATGGGGAAATCTCATTAGCATCCAACATCACCAAAAATACATATAATACAAACCAGAATTTATATATTAATAATCCTTCCATTTAATAATACTTTATCACTTCAAGACATCTCAAAGCGCTTCATAGGATTTTACTGTGAAGTGTCGAGGCTGATTCAGCATCTGGACTACCGAGATTGTGAAAAAAGACTGACTCAATTCCGACTTTCCATTGGCAAGCATGTCACCATGGAATCATCTTAGCTACGGAGACCCACGTACTTCCCTGCCAAAGCAGATAGGCTTTTAGCAGCTTATTTAACATATCTGACTTTGTCTTCGGTCATCCACCTTGGCTCACACCCCTATTGATTCCAACTCCCAGCTTGTATCCTCTAACGCAATGTGAGCCAATCACCCCCATCCTTGCCCAGCTTCACTGAATCCCCATTCCCCAGAGGATCATGTTTAAGATCCTAGTCTTCACTTTCAAAGCCTTCCACAGTCTTGCTCCTCCTTACCTACCTCTGTGACCTATTAACACGTTACCAACACTCCCGTTCCCTCTGCTCGGTGAGCTCTGGCCTGCTTCATGTCCTGCCCGCCATTGGCAGTCAGGTCGGTAGCCTTTCTGGCCCCACTTCTGGAACTCCAACCCAGAACCCCTTCGCCTAACCCTTGCCTCCTTCAAGGTCTGTCTCAAGACCTTCCTCTTTGATCGTGCCTTTGGTCATCCTCTCACCCCCATTCCCCTTGGCCTCCACATCGCTTGATTCTAATCCCTAATTTGAGTGCAAACCCTTGACTGTCCAGCGCCTTGGGACATCATCCCGATGTGAAAGATGCTATACAAATGCAACTTCTTGTTATTGTTGTTGTAAGAAGGTAATTATTGGATGTTTACAGTTTAATTCTACAAATATACTTCCGGTCTTCTGTTTCTACACCAAAAATAAGGAAATCCTTCTTGTTTTATTAATTTAAAATTGTCCAGTCCTGAATCTTCCTCAAATAAATTGGATCAACTTATAACAAATTAAACGGTGAAGAGAAACAGGCTCATGAAACAGAAATGTGCTTCCAAAAATAAAGCTTTGTTTTTCTGAGCAGTTACTAGTTGTCTCCTACATCAACCATAATAATCTCTAAACTCCCCCTCATCCCTCTCTAACTCAGGTGACACTTGCTGCCTTTCCTCCTACACCAGGCAGTGCCAGCCTCAGTATTATTACCAGCCTCAGTACTATTACCAGCCTCAGTGCCAGTGCTATTACAGCCTCAGTGCCAGGCTCAGTACTATTAGCCGCCTCAGTGTCAGCCTCAGTACTATTACCCGCCTCAGTGTCAGCCTCAGTACTATTACCAGCCTCAGTATTATTACCAGCCTCAGTACTATTACCAGCCTCAGTACTATTACCAGCCTCAGTACTATTACCAGCCTCAGTGCCAGCCTCAGTACTATTATCAGCCTCAGTATTATTACCAGCCTCAGTATTATTACCAGCCTCAGTACTATTACCAGCCTCAGTATTATTACCAGCCTCAGTATTATTACCAGCCTCAGTACTATTACCAGCCTCAGTACTATTACCAGCCTCAGTATTATTACCAGCCTCAGTGCCAGTGTTATTACCAGCCTCAGTGCCAGTATTATTACCAGCCTCAGTATTATTACCAGCCTCAGTATTATTACCAGCCTCAGTGCCAGTGTTATTACCAGCCTCAGTGCCAGTGTTATTACCAGCCTCAGTGCCAGTGTTATTACCAGCCTCAGTGCCAGTGCTATGACCAGCCTCAGTGCCAGTGCTATGACCAGCCTCAGTGCCAGTGCTATGACCAGCCTCAGTGCCAGTCTGCAGCCAGCGCCGAGGGTCCTCCTTACCGCACTCCTCCTCTACCGCACGTGCTCGGCTCTGCACCCAAGAGCTGCAGGTTTCACGCGTGCGCGGTGTGTGGGCGCCGGGAGCCGCCGCGCTCACTGCTCACTGCCCTGTGTGCAGCCACAGGGCCGTCACTGCCGACCCAGCGCCGGGGGCTGTGTCTGTGTGAGAGTGAGGGGCAGGTGCAGGGGGACAGATCGAGTTCACGCCCTGAACTTCTAGACATGTTTTGTCTCTTTTTTTTAAAAAAAAATGAAATAATAACACCCGTCCGAGACGTTTTATTAAATAATAACATGATAAATAATAGCCGCAGAGGTATAATAACATATCAAAGGTTCGTGACCACTTTGGGTGCGCAGAATGGTTATGAACCTCTGAAAATGCTATCATATCTCTGCAGGTTTCAGCTGCTTTGATGCCAGACCCAAAGGTCAATGCCATCCCATTAGAGAAGCAGCAAATAAATGACTGTCACATCCAAACAGCTACCAGGAGGCTTCCTCTGAAGCAGTAAATTTGTTTTATATATATATACCCCAACCGCCCTACCATCGGTGGCCGAGCCTTCAGCCTCTCAGCCCCGAGGCTCTGGAACTCCATCCCCCAGTGCCTTCGCCTTGCTTCCTCCCTTTCCTCCTTCAAGGCCAGTCTCAAGACCTTTCTTTTTGACCGTGCCTTCACCTCCCCTCTCGACTCTCTACCCCCTCCTCGCTCCCTCCCTTCCCTCCCCTCACCCTGACCATTTCCTCCCAATGCTCGGGTCCTGACCCAACTGTACAGCGCCTTGGGACGTCCTCCCGACGTGAAAGGCGCTCTATAAATGGAATCTTGTTGTTGTTGTTGTATATCTCTAAACAGATTGTATTTACACTTCCAGCAATTGGTTTGTAAACCGGAACAGAAAGTGCTCTCCCACGAATTTCCTTCCCTTTCAAATCCCTTTAATGGATGCCTGCTGGTGAAAATGAAAATAGAGTTTTTTTTAAATTTCAGATCTTTGCGCATTTCCAAGGTACCTTGGGATAGTCTTGGAAGTTCTACCAACAGGCTAAGTAGTGTTTCAGCCCCGAGGCTCTGGAACTCTATCCCCCAGTGCCTTCGCCATGCTTCCTCCCTCTCCTCCTTCAAGGCCGGTCTCAAAACCTTTCTCTTTGACCGAGCCTTCAGCTCCCCTCTCGACTCTCTTCCCCTTCTCGCTCCCTCCCATCCCTCCCCTCACCCTGACCATTTCCCCCCTCCTCGCTCCCTCCCTTCCCTCCCCTCACCCTGACCATTTCCCCCCTGCTCGGGTCATGACCCAACTGTGCAGCGCCTTGGGACGTCCTCCTGACGTGAAAGGCGCTTTATAAATGGAATCTTGTTGTTGTTGTTGTTGTTTCACGTAGGACGTGATCAGTGGCACTGGTGTGTAGCCTGCTGTAACTCCAGATCACAGCACAGAAAGTGAATTCTGTTGTTAAATGAGTTGAAAATGGGGAAAGAGGGTGCAAGACGAAGGGATTGAATGGGGGAGTTCCACACAACCCTTTTGGCAGCAATTGTCACATGGCTGGGGGACTTGCAGAGGGACAAGCAGAAAATAGCCTTTTTTAAAAAAGTAGTTCTTACATACACAGAAAGGAATCTGAGAGCAGCTGTTACATGCAGACGTGAATGGCCAAATGGCCTCTTAATGCCCTGTAAATTTCTTTAATCCATGATAAATGACATGTTGTCAGTATGCTATTCTCCTTTCAATTCTTAAATTATTGCAACCTCTTTCTGCTTTGTTTAATCTGTAGCCAAAACAAGAGGCAGTCAGAGAGGATTACTAAGTGTCAGCCTGGCTCAAACAGGAGCCCTCTTGTCTCTAAATCAGAAATTATCAGTTCATGCACCATGCAGGGACTTTGAACTCACAGTCTAGGCTGACACTCAATGGCACTATTCAGCAAGAAAGAAGTTTAGTTTAGTGTCCTGGCTAACAATCCAAGATAAAACTGGTCATTCATTTCATGGCTGTTTCTGATATATTGCTGTATGCAAATTGGCTGCTGTGATTTCTCTATACAGTAAATTTGGTGAAGTTCTTTGAAAAATGCGCCTGATATAAAAGATGCTCTAGCAAATGCTAAACTAATATACCTCAGTAATGACCCAAGGGACCACTCTAACTGATATGGCCAATATAAGACCATGCCATACAAGACCAGAGAAAGCCAAACAAACTAATGTTAATAAAACATCCCATTGTTTATCAACCTTTTTAATTCTGATGTAAAGAACTTTACCTCTCCAAATTAAACTCTTTGGATTTCTGCGATTTATGTTTGAGCCCAGCTATTTGCTGTATCATATGTTTAACACTTAGAGCCTTTACAAAGCAAGTAGGGCATAAATGATTTTCCATCTGCCTACCTGCCTGTGAAACCTTAGGCAAGTTTCCTGACTCCACACACCTCTGTTTACCTAGCAGTAGGTACAAACCTGGTTGTTAGCAATTTGGGGGATTGTTTTTCCGTGGGTTCTAATAATAATCCTTGCATTTGATATAGTGCTTTTCACGTCAGGAGAACGTCCCAAAGCGCTTCACAGAACACACTGTAAAGTAAATTGACTGTATATTTGTGGGCGAACGTGGCAGCCAATTGCGCACAGCAATGTCCCACAAAAAGTCAGATTGAAAATGACCAATTTATTATTGTTTTTGGTTTTTGGAGGGATTATTATTAGGTGTGTGGAGTAAGGAAACTTGCCCAAGGTTTCGCCCTCTGCCTGGAATTGAACTCAGGTCTCTTGCTTGCAAAGCGAGTGCTCTAACCACTGAGCTACAGGACTCCACGTAATAATCCCTCACAAAAAACGAATAACAATTCGGTCACTCAATCCATGACTGTTTGTGAGACACTGCTTGTGTAACTGTCTGCCACGCTTCGCCCACAAAATACATAGTCAAACCCTTCAATAATCCCTTTAACAATAACGTTCTCATGTAAATGCTGTCAAGTGTAATTGCTATCAAGACACTGTGTTTGTAGGTGAATTTGGCAGCCAATTTAAGCATAGTCAGGTGTCTCAAATTATTATTATTTTTTAACAGGCATAAAATGAATGACCAATTTATCGTGAGGATTGTTGACTGCCACACTGGGAAAAACTCTCTTCTATTTTCAGTTAGTGTGATGGGATTTATAACAACCATCTGAAGAATAGTCAGATGATGTGATGTTCTAAATTGTGCACTTAAACATCGGAGAAAGCAGGTGGCTGAAAGCAGGATTGCAGAGATATGCTAACAGTGGACTGCTTCGTTCTGTTCCCTGTCTGATTCACTTCAGCTATTTTGCCTCACTCTCTGGAACTCCATTCCAGGAATCCCTGGAATCTGCCTCGCCCACTCCTTCCCTACTTTTAAAGTTTGCCTTCAATTCTATCTCGGTGACTGTTATTTTGATCATCTTTCCTCCAACCATACACCCTCATCAGCTCCCAGCTCCTTCCCAGCTTGGGCCCAGTCAGTTTGTAAAGCACTTTGAGACATTCTCCTGATGTGAATAGTGCTGTATAAATTTGTTGCTTCCCTCTGACTCAATCTACTTTCGGAAATGAGCTCCTCTTAGTGTGTTGGACTTCCAGTTATCGGAAGAAGTCCCCATTCAAATTCCTTAATTAAAGGTGTAGGTTTGAGACTGGTGTGTGTGTGTGTGTGTGAGTACGTGTTGAGAGTTCTTAGCTGGATTGCCTTTGCAAAGAAAAATCTGTTAGGGATACTGCAATGTCAGAGGTCCATTCTGAAACCTGTTCAGTGACATTCCTCAGAGCCGAGCTGTTCAAATTCATTCTATTCCCTTGAAACAATAGGTACCCTTTACTTATTACTTCCATAAATATCTTGGGCTCTCTCAGATGTAAAGGCCCTTCAGATAGCCTTTCAGCTGTTAGCCACATTTATTTACTGACCGAGTGATACAGTGGTTTCAATGTTGCTGGGTCTGAGGGAAGGGAAGCGAGGCTGAAGAAAAAAAGAATATTGCCTTTGGGAAATGTTGAGGAGTGCAGATAATAATAATAATCCTTGCATTTGATATAGTGCTTTTCACGTCTTCTAGACGTCTCAAAGTTCTTCACAGAATATACTGTAAAGTGAATTGACTGTACATTTGTGGGCGAAACGTGGCAGCCAATTGCGCACAGCAGTGTCCCACAAACAGTTGTGGATTCAAGTGACCAATTTGTTATTGTTTTTTTTTCTTGACGGATTATTATTAGGTGTGTGAAGTAAGGAAACTTGCCCAAGGTTTCGCCCTGCTGGGAATCGAACCCAGGTCTCTCGCTTGAGAGGCGAGTGCTCTAAATCACTGAGCTACAGGACTCCACTAGATGTAGTATTGTTGGGATGAATGAATATTTGACTACCTTTGGGGTTCATAAGATACTAATGTGGTACTTTCCCCCAGAACATAGAGTGGATAGGGTCAAGTGCTATTTCTGTGATCTTCTCCTACCCTACGCTTTTGTTCGCTCTCTATGTTCAGTAAACTTGGGCCTGTTAATCCATCCACCCCACCATTGGTGGATGAGTCTTCAGCAACACTACTTCCCTCTACCCTCGATCTCACCTCGTCATCTGTTTTAAATCCTGCTTAACAACCTACCTGTTTCACTGGGCCTACAGTAACTTCCACCTTCTTTTCATATTCTGTGTTTTCCTATGTTTTGACACTTGTGGCAATCCATAAAATCCAATAAGAATAATCCTTGAATTTGATATAGCGCCTTACCACATCATTGAGACATCTCAAAGCACTTCACAGAATGCATTGTAGAGTGAATTGACCGTGTGGTTTGTGGGCAAAACGCAGCAGCCAATTGCACACAGCAGTATCCCACAAACATCGTGCATTGAGTGACCATTTTATTTTGGAGGGATTATTACCACTGGAAAACGATCTGCCAATCGACTAACAACTGGGTTCTTACTTACTGCTAGATAAACAAAAGTATGTGGAGTAAGGAAACTTGCTTAAGGGTTTGCCCTGCCCGGGAATTGAACCTGGGTCCTCTTGCT